GCCGAGGACACGCTCCTCCCACACCTCGCTGCTGCCGCTGCTTGTTCTGGTCTGAACACTAGTGCGTTCAGTCTGAACATAGAGCGTCCAGTGAGAGACGTTTTGCGCTTTTTGGCCGCTCAAAACGCGTTTGGTGTGAACGTAGCATAACAACTGCTCACCTGAACAGATCGTCTGTAACTGACACAGATTTTCCCTCATTTTGCAGGTTTACAGACGTTTAGAGTAATCTAATGATTTTTATCAAAAACTCAGCTTCTAATTGATTTTCTCTCAGAGCCTGCAGGATGATAAAAACAATACATAAAATTAAATAGGCTAAGTCAGATAAAGTTAAGTTCACCACTCTTCTCCCCGTCCTCTCACTCCTGCCTGCTGTTATCTGCAGCAGACTGTCTCCTCACCCCCCACCCCCACCCCACCCTGCACACATGAGAAATACAGACATTAAAAAGTGAATCTTTTATAACACATCCATGCTGGTGAGGGCGCACACACCCAAAGCGTGACTATAACCAAGCTTTATGCTGTTTTGCTGTTGAAATGTCTCTTGTCAAGGATGGGTCTGTGGGTCAGGGTCATGAGGAGGAAGGAGATGTGTGAACTTTTATTTAAGATTTAAGTTTTTATTTCAAAGGTCCTTATGGCTCAGCAGCAGAAGCATAAATAATACTGTTAAGAAAGCTGCTGATGATAAAGTTGAATAAAAATCTAAGTCTGATTCTGAAGGTAAATTAAATATCTGACAGTGATCTTTACACAGTGTGGCTCTAATTCCTCACTTCATCATCTGTGTCGCAGTTTCACGTCTCCAAAATGAGCGTACGCATGGGTCAGAGCTGGCGTGAGGCACCACACATTTTCACGTCAAGTTTGGATTTTATAAATCACAACCTTTGCCTGAAAAGTGGCGTACGCAAGTTTCTGGGCTCAAATTTTGCTTACGCCAGTTTTATAAATCCGACCCCAGAACTTTAAGTGCCACTATCATAAATAATAAAGGTAAGATAAAGGTGCTTTATTTGTCATCAGTGTATGTTTTCCACACAATGACGAAATTTGTGCTCTGCATTTAACCCATCCACACCCRAGTGGAGCAGCGGGCAGCCATGTGAGGCCATGCATAATCCTGCATTATTTAGAAGTTTCTCAAATCTAATAACATCTGATTTGAGTGAATAGGTCATTAACAGGTTTCTGCAGAACTTGAAGAGGCAATTCTGTCATTGAATCAGTTGAATCAGGTGTGTTAGAGCAGGAAAACATGTAAAACATGCAGGATAGCTGCTTTTGAGGACCATAATTGAACAATACTGTCAATTGCTTAAGGAATAGAGATTTAAGTTATTTTTTTTCCAGTCTGTCACATTTTGGGCAGTTTTACAAAGCTGTGCATTCGTGATGGTAAAATAACAAAACCGATTAGTGGGCCTGATGGATAGAGCTTCACGTGCGGGGGTCATAATTAACTGTTGGTTTTAGACAAAAAAATTATGCCTTTTTTTCTTATTAATTTTTACATAAAAATATTCAGGCTATTCCCCCTAATTAGTTTTTTTCCTTCCTGTCCTGAGTGGTCAAATATCAAAATGCAGATAGATTCAGGATTCCAAGGTTTTATTGAACTATCCATCCATCCATTTTCTTCTGCCTATCCGGGGTCGGGTCGCGGGGGCAGCAGCTTCAGAAGGGAGGCCCAGACCTCCCTCTCCCCAGCCACTTCTTCCAGCTCCTCCGGGGGAACTCCAAGGCGTTCCCAGGCCAGCCGAGAGACATAGTCCCTCCAGCGTGTCCTGGRTCTTCCTCGGGGCCTCCTCCCGGTGCTTTTATTGAACTAAACTGATTTTATAATTATTCAACAGGGCATAACAAGGATGTCAAGCTAAAAAGAGTAAATGATTTGATAAAGAACTGAGTAGACCAAGGAGTCCAAGTACTTGGAAGGTGATTGCTGAATGAAAAACCGGTTGGTTGACTATAAATTGCAGACAAGTGAGAATGTATATGAAAACGAGGATCACTGAGGAAAACATTGGCTGACATCCACATATTAACAGAGTCCAATTAAGCTATATCTGAAATACTTCTGTAACAAACCATGCAAAATGACCAAAAACACACACTTCATACACAACAGCTAAAATGAAATATTTATGAGCTTATCAATTATTTTTTTCTCCACCAAAGCTGAATTGTTTGAATGGTGTGGGTCAAATATTTTTGTTTTAAGAAATATTGGAAATTTTTTTTGTTTCCATTACACAAGTTAAACATTTCAGTGAAATAAAACACAGTCTTGTTGTATGAAGCAAAGACTTTAATGATTTTGTCATGCTTATGTTGAATGGAATGTTGAAAACTTAAACCTGACATTAAAACAATCTATCTACCCATCGTCTTTACGATACAGGCCCCTCTCTCATGCCTTTCTATTATAACGAGACACAACTGATTCTTTTATAAAGGATAACTGTTATTCCTAGCGGTCAGAGTTGAATGCTGGAATGGGTAATATGTTTCCATAATGTACGTGTGCATCTAACCAAGACAGTCAAATTACTATTACTACAGCACTAACCTCTGTAACTACACCATTTTTTTCCAGAGATAAAAGCAGTGTTATATGATATTTGACTGACAGACTTTTCAAGCAAAACTTGATGGCCTCTTTTATTTACATTTTGTCCTGGAGGCTCAGTGTCAGTACAGTCAAGGTTATTCTGCTGCATTAGCAGAACAGCACAAGTGTCTGCCAGTTTTTCAACTTTCATTAAAGCTAACGCTTTTAAGCCAAACGCTGCTGCCTGCCCAGACCCCCCTGACAATAATGTTCTAACTGTTCACCCGCCAAACTATCAAACGATTTTATATTCCACACCTGTTAGGCATTAGACACAGACGTCCAACCTGGCCACGCAAACACAACAGTGCACTCTTTGTTAGAAACCCCAGGACCATTATAGTGGGTGGGTATGGCTCGAAAGGGTTCCAGAAACACTTTATCAGAAGGAGATAGACACACTACAGGCCTTTGTGCTCCCTGTGACACCATATGTTAATAGCATGCATTTCCTCTGCCGAGAAGGCAGGTTTTACAGCATTTAGAGAGAAGTATTTTAATTGGAACCATCTACGGCCTGACAGTGGTCTCAGTGGAGACACATGGAAAAGCTGTTGAGCAGCTCCGGAGGCTTGCCGCAGTGTCACACAGCTAACCATCTCCTGCTGTAGGAAAGGAAATAGAGGAAGATGCTTACTATTTGATTTATAAATGAGCTGGTAAATGTGACAATTTTCATAAGCCTCTCTATTATTTGTAACTCTTTGAGTTATTGAGGGCTTTAAATATAAT